AAACAACATATGTTCATTAGATTAAGCAGAAGAGTTTATTTATACATAGCCAGTCACAGGAGAGCAGAAAACACCTTGCACAGTAAGTCCCTTGATCTTCATCCATAGCCAGCACTGAGCATATGCGGTGGTTGTTGTGGAAACTCCCTAGCCAGCGCTTCTAGTACTGTCTAGAGAGTATAGGAATGGAGTGACGTCACTCCGTTCCGACGCAGGCACCCTGGCAACAAAGCCAGCTTGCCGACATCACTGACGAGATTTGCCCTGCTTGAAGATGCGCCCCAAGCAGGGCAAATCAAAGATGACTGCAGGAGGAGTGAATGTGGTGCAGAGGATGGCTAGGAGGCAGGTGTTATGCAAAAAGTAAAACCCACAAATCGGCTCTGAAATGGAGGAAAAGTGAGTAAATCTTTATATTTTACATTGAATACACTATTTATTGTTGTGCTATATGGTGTATTCAATGTATATGGGAGTGATTTCAGGTAAGTACATTTTTCCATAACAGGTCAACACTAAATGATAAATATATTAAGGTGTAGGACCATTAACCTTACCTGAAACCCACTGTAATTATATTTTCAGTTATCTCCCTTTAAATTATAAATGTAATCTGTCATTTGGGCATAACCAACAAAGGTATTTTAAAAAGTCATGTCTTGGCAGTACCATTAACTCTGTAACAGCTGTTTTCCTTTTTGAGCAAAACATATGCTCGCTACACTTGCTATATTATAGAAACCAAAACTAACCTCAAAGTAAGAATAATGAAGACTCCGGTAATATATTTTCGTATTTATCATTTTCCCTCCATTCATTGCAAGAATATGATTAGTTTGCCTCAGTATATAGTTCACAGGAGAAAAATATAACTTGTTTCGTTTCAGGGAAATAACATATTTTACAGCTGCACTAGTGGTTAAGCTTTCATGTCCTCCCACGTTTAACTTCCTCCAACAGGAGATTGCATTGGTATTATATGCTAAATCTAATCATTTTCCTTTACTGGAATAGTGTTTATCAAAAAAATCTATATATTAGTTGTAAGTCATCAGACTATAGAAAGTACAAATTAAGCAAACACAATCTGTTAACAGAGATAATGATCAAGGCTGAAGATTTTGATTTAAGGAACACTCCAAGTACCATAACTATTTCCGCATACTGTAGTGGTTATGTTCCATGGGATATTCCTTTAATTAATATTTAATTAGCAGAATTTGAGTTGGTTCAGCAAAGTGGGTCACAAAATGGGAAATCCTTTAAATCCTGTAGATAATAAATTTTAAATATATTTCAGACAATGTCAGCATTCATAAATTCTAATTAGTTTTCTATGTAAGGGCTCCTATTTTGGTATAGATTTATGACATTTAAAACTTAGAGTTAAAAGTTGCTAATTTATTCCACTGACCTAGCATGCCCGAATGAGTGGACCTTGCAGCCTCTATACTTACCCTCTTCGTCGGATCCAATCAAGGGGACAAACCAGGCAGTCCCCCTGTAGCCAGTCCTGCGGATCTGAGTCATGTGATCGTGATTACATCACCATAACATGACTCAGATCGGCCGGAATGCAAGTTTGCCTGGAAGGGGACTGACTGGGTTATCAGGCAGATCCCCCAACATATAATTAATATATATATATATATATATATATAAAATTAAATTTTAAAAATACATAAATATAATTTTTTTATGAAATTGGGAGAACTTTCCTTTATAAAGTCTAAAACATTTCTGAGAAAAAAACGACACAGAATACAAACTTGAGTTGTCTTACAGAGGTTAAAGCTATATGAGTGCAGATAAGACACAGGATTGATAGACAATAGACACCATTCTCACAGAGGGTCATAAATATCTTGTGTAAGGATCACAGAGTGAGGGTAGAGGGAGAAAAAAAAAAAACTTTGCAGGAGATGGTACAGGAACAAACTGATAGAAGTGACTTGAAAAATAATCACACTATCACCATCAAACCAGCAGACAAGGAAGGAGCAGTGGTGATACTGAACACACAGGACTACATATAAGAGGGGGGCAGGCAATTGTAAGATGGCAAATACTATAAAAAAAATTTAACGAAGATTCCATTGCAACCTAGGTAGCTCAACAAATCCTTCCTAGCTAGAGCAAGAACAGGAATCAATACCAACCAGCCACTGCATTGGCACTTTCTATATGCTTCCCAAAATCTAAGAAACAGGTAATCCTAAAAGACCTATAATTACAGGAATGGGAACACTTACAGAATAGATCTAAGGACTGGTAGAAAATACCCTAAAACCTCTTGTTAACAACACCCACAGCTTCATAAAAGACACCACTGATTTCCTTAAAGGATCACTCTAGGCACCCAGACCACTTCAGCTTAATGAAGTGGTCTGGGTGCCAGGTCCTTCTAGGGTTAACCCATTTTTTCATAAACATAGCAGTTTCATAGAAATTGCTATGTTTATGAATGGGTTAAGCCTTCCCCTATTTCCTCTAGTGGCTGTCTCATTGACAGCTACTAGAGGCGCTTGCGTGCTTCTCACTGTGATTTTCACAGTGAGAGCACGCCAGCGTCCATAGGAAAGCATTATGAATGCTTTCCTATGTGACCGGCTGAATGCGCGCGCAGCTTTTGCCGCGCGTGCGCATTCAGCCGACGGGGAGGAGAAGAGGAGGATCGGAGGAGGAGAGCTCTCCTCCCAGCGCTGGAAAAAGGTAAGTTTTCCCCCTTTTCCCCATTCCAGAGCCGGGCGGGAGGGGGACCCTGAGGGTGGGGACACCCTCAGGGCAATTTAGTGCCAGGAAAACGAGTATGTTTTCCTGGCACTATAGTGGTCCTTTAACAAGCTCAGTCAGTCACCAACCTCCCTGCTAACACAATCCTTCTAACCATGGAGGTGGAATCTCTGAACAGTAACATTCCACATAAAGATGGCATCAATGCTTGTTTTAGTTTTACCTATTGCGCCGTCAACCAAATTATCACAGAACTGGCACTAGTTATTCTCACACATAATGATTTCAGTTTCAACAATAAGGTCTTCCCTTAAACTATGGAAATTGCAATGGGTACTAAAATGGCACCACAATATGTTAATCTATTTATGGCAGACCTAGATCAGAGATTCCTAGAAATATTGCAGAGCAAACAATACTAATATTACTGATACATTGATGATATGTTCATCATTTGGACCAAAAGTGAGAAAAACTAGTACAATTCCATGACTCTTAATTCATTCCATCCATCAACCAAACTAAAAATAGAATGTTCTACAAAATATGTGAAATTTCTGGACACTTCTGTGGTACGTACCAATGGCAAAAGCTACACCTCGGTTTACAAAAAAAAAAAAACACAGACAGAAGCAGTTACCTTAACAGCTCCAGCTTCTGCCCCTCCCATACTACACATGGCATCATCTATAGCCAAGAACTACGTACCATTGACTATGCTCTGGCCCTAATGACTGAAATTTACATCTAAATGTACTCTCCCAACTTATGAGACAGAAAGGCTACAAATCAAGAACCAAGATCTGAAGAAGCCAGTATTACGGTGAAACGCGCCATCATGCTCGACGACGCACAAACGTACTTTTGTACGTATCGCACTCCTGCAGACTTGTAACTCCACCCCCCGGAAGTCTTTGATTGCGAAACAGCCGGTTACCTTAGTGAAAGAAGCTGGCTTTGTACTCTTAGAACATGAACTGTTGCACTGTATAAAGGGGGGATTCTGGACAAAGCTGCTACATGGTATTCTGTGCAATAAATCTGTGAAATGGATCGACTGTCTCTGCCATTTTTGATATTTGGATCTGTCATACTTAGAGAAGGCTCTTCTGCTCTACTTTTGTGAGTGTGTATTTTATCTATTATATTTATAGATTTACACTATTGGTATTTCTTTTCCTCCTTTTTTATGATACATGGAGATGACCAGCATATGCATTTTTCAGTTAGTGATTTGTGTATTTTTATCACAGTTTTGCACATATGTGCACAATATATGTGTTAAGAAATTTTATGCACTATAATGCAAATCCCATTTTTGCACATTAAATCACTTGTTGCACTTTAAAATAATTTTGTCTCACTATATACAAACACAGTGAGGGATGGGAGAAGTAGAGCTCACCTGCTCAAGGTTCTATGCATGTGACACATGTATTAACAATAACGAATATGTTGGTTTTTCTTTTTCTTATTATGTTTATTGTCTAATGTTAAACTTGTATAAAATATTACGACTTCTCCAAATCACACAAACAAGCTACCACAAGCCCAGGTAGCCACGAGTACCGTATGGACAATACGGATAACCCCAAGGTGCACCCACCATGCACCACTCCCCCTTGGCGGGTGAACTATGTACATAACCTCCCTACCCCCTCCCCAGTTTTATATGTCCTTCCCACTCATGACCATAAAACCCCACCCCTTAACCCTTGAGAGTACAAAACCAGCACCTACCCAAATTTCCACCTCCACAAACAGGACCATACCCCTCAACTTAAGCGCCAATGGGAAATTAGGCCTCAAACACCCACACAAATGGCCGTGAAGCGCCCATCCCATATGCAGACACCTCCAAACATGAAAATTTACTCCCACAATGCAGAGGGCCTCAACACCCCACACAAGCGCAGCAAACTACTGCAAGATCTCAAACGGGCCACAGTGGATCTAGTATGTATACAAGAGACACACTTTGTAAAACTTCGCATCCCCAAATTTGGCCTTAACACTCGTTACACCCTATACAATTCCACGCAGCACACACCTCCAAAGCCAGAGGAGTCTCCCTGCTAATCCACAAATCCCTCTCCATTGAGCTACTCAAGCTGATCACTGATAGCCAAGGAAGGTTTCTCATAGTTCTATGCACGATCAACGAAGTTAAGTACACCATAGTGAACATATATTGCCCCAATATACAACAAAGAAACTTCCTCCACAAAGTCCTCTAAAAACTCGAGCCCATCAAAACCGAATACACGATGGTCTGCGGGGACCTAAACCATATCTTAGACCATACCTTAGACACATCCTTGCTTACTTCACAATCCCGCAAACAACACCTCAAACCACAATGCCAAGCTCTAACGAAACTGATAATGGAGTTTAACCTCTACGACACATGGAGGGCCCTACACCCAACAGACCGTCAGTACTCCCACCATTCCCAAGTCAACAAAACACACTCCAGAATAGATCACATTCTCTCTACTGGACCCCTCCTCCGGAGAGTTCTACACTGTGAAATAGAAGACATAGTATGGTCGGACCATGCGCCCAACATCATGTCCATAACGACACAGTTTGCATCCAGAGGGTATGCCCCCTGGAGATTGAACGAATCCCTGCTGCAGGATGACACCTTCCGTAATGTCATCCAAACAGAGCTCACAGAATATTTCTCCACAAATAACAATAAAGAAACCTCCCCTATAATGATTTGGCAAGCTCATAAATCAGTCATGCAAGGGCTCCTTTTAAGCCGCGCATCATTCCTTAAAAAACAAGCACAAAAAGATCAAATTACGATCCTGAGAGACCTTAGAGACGCCACAGCACAACACTATATACAACCTACAGACACCCTATTGAAGGAAATTGAGAATCTGACCGATCAACTAAACACAATAGCAATATCAAAAACGACATACATGATGCAAAAACTCAAAACACGAAGCTACAACCAGAACAACAAAACAGGCAAACTACTTGCCACACAATTAAGACTCAAATATGCCCAAAATAAGATCCCATATATCTTAACCGCAGAAGGGAAAAACTATACAACCCACAAAACATAGTTGATGAACTAGCCAAATACTACACTACACTATACAACCTAAAAACGGACGCACCAACCCACCACGCTTGAGATTCAGTCCCTCTTAGCGAAAGTATCCCTACCGCCAATTCCCCAAATCCATGCAGATACCTTAAAAACCCCGATCTCAGAACAAGAAATTATCCAAACAAAATGTCACTTCCCTCGGGCAAATCACCAGGCACAAACGGTTTCCCAAACAATTATTATAAAATATATGCACATACCCTAGCACCACAACTCCTCCAAAACATACAATACAATGACCGCACAGGGGAAAATGCCAGCAGATATGCTTATGGCGCACATCACGACTCTCCTTAAACCAGGCAAAATCTCAAACAAAGGGCAAAACCTACGATTTCACTGTTAAACACAGACATAAAAATAATTGCTAAAATATACGCGAACAGATTAGCTAACATTCTCCCGACGATCATTCACCAGGACCAAGTGGGGTTTATCAAGGGGAGACAGGGCAGCGACGGAACGCGCAAGGTAATCAACTTAATGCAGGTGCTACGGGGAGCACAGTGTATTTCTCCCGCTAGACGCTGAGAAAGCGTTCGACAGACTGCACTGGCCTTTCCTCCTTGCGGTCCTGAAGAAATATGGATTTCCAGATATGTTTATCTCAATAGTACAAATCCTATACAGCAACCCGACAGCCAGGGTAGTAGGAGGAGGATTTACATCCTCTCCATTCGAGATATCCAATGGCTCCAGGTAGGGCTGCCCCCTTTCCCAGATGCTATATGTTTTGGCACTAGAACCACTCACGGCACTAATCAGACAAAACCCAGATATTCATGGAGTTCAAGTCGGACCGCACGAGTACAAACTCACATTGTTCGCAGATGATATTCTGCTTACACTCACTACCCCCCACAGCTTTATCCCCACATTTCTCCAAATACTACAGGAATATAGCAGATGCTCCTATTACAAACTTAACCTGACCAAGACACAAGCATTAAGCCTAAACACACCCAAACACACACCACTAACCCTGCAAAAACAATACAACTTTGAGTGGAAATCAGACAACCTCACCTTCCTAGGACTAACCATCACACCCACTATCCCAGGCCTATATAAAGATAACTACCAGAAACTCCTAAAGCAAATTGGAACCATATTAACTAGCTGGCGAAAAAAGTACCTCTCATGGAACGGCAGACTAGCTGCCATAAAAATGATAATCATCCCCAAATTCCAATACTTATTCCGAACTCTACCTATCCACCTCCCAACCACGTATTTTAAGGAAGCACAAAAAATACTCAACCAATTCACTGAATGCACCCAACCTCCAAACATACTATCAGGCAGCCATTCTAAATAGCATGATACCACTCCACAGTCAGAGCCCACCCCCTCAATGGGTAACAATAGAAAAAGACGCAGTCAAACCACATGCCCTTACGGCACTAATCTGGTCCCCTAAACAAAGCAGACCCCAAAACACCAAAATACTGCCGACCACAGAGGCGACGCTACGGATATGGGAAAAAAACAAACACATATGTTGCTCACAAATGCCACTATCTGCCATGCCCTCCATGATACCGAACTTTAACCACAGAATATGGGAACGACATGGTATACATCACATACATCAACTGTACCAAAACAACCACCTCCTAACATTTGCAGAGGTACAGAGCCTCTACGGCCTCCCAGCCGTAGACCACTTCTCCCACAGGCAAATTTACTCTTGGGTAACAAAACACCAAGGCGAAATAAAGGCTACGTCCAACGAGCCTCAACTGACGAGCTTCGAGAAAACCATACTTAAACTGATGCCAACACAAAAAACCTTCTCAACGCTATACACCAACATATTGCAGCATAATATCACACTTATATATCCCTTTGTCATAGCATGGGAAAAAGACCTAGGACAAACCCTCCCCGAGGCAATGTGGAGAAAGATGTTCATCACCCCCAAAACCCTCACACTCAGTGCCAACCACACTGAATTATCCAGGAAAATCTTATATAGGATGGTACTTAGTGCCCACACGCCTTAAACAGATGTACCCTGAGGCCTCTGACAAATGTTGGCGCTGCGCCTCGACAGCCGGATCAATGATCCATATATGGTGGACATGCCCAGTATTAAACCCCTACTGGTCCGCGTTGACCAAAATGATCCAAACCAGTACAGGTATCCGCATACCACAAACCCCAGACTGCCTACTGCTCCACAACTACCCACCAAAGCTCCCTAAAACAACCAGATACTTGATCTACCAGATCAACATAGCAGCCCTACCATGCCACAATGTATACAACTCATAAATACAACTAGACTTTATGAGCTAGCAAGCAGAACAACTTTCCCCACCAGAGCAACCTTCTGGATAACAGCTTGGCAAACCCCCCCCCACCACCCCCCGCCACACCACAGAACATAATCCGAAGCCTCGACAGCCGAGATCATCACTATAGCGATAGCTACCTTGCTACCCACATGACCACAGGTAACAATATAATAAAATACAACGGGAGACAAAAACTCCACAAAGCAAGCCCTTCGCAAATTCCTCTCCCCTACCTAACCAAACGAAAGTAAACACTGGACAACTCGAACTTGCACTCTCAACCCCTGAACCCCCCCTACCCCCACCCCTTTTCTCCCAGTTGATACACTGTAGAGTGAACAAAATGTTAAACATGTCTGTAATCCAATAACGGAGACAATTTATTTCTGTAACCATGATAATAACTTTACCTGCAAACTGTACAAAGAAATGTTCACTGTAAACGTGGAAAACTGCTTAATAAAAAAAATAAAAATAAAAAAAAATAAAAATTTTTTGTCTTAAATACACAGCGCACCTATATATATTTTTTTGTACAAATCAAGAACCATTACCAAATAAATCCACTCTGATCTAAAAACTACACGCACACAACACAGGGAGAACTAAATCTCTACACATATACCACTTGTGTTCACCTTCAACCCAGCTCTTGAAGAAATATGGAACTTTATTAAATATAGGTTCTCTGGAACCCACATTTTGGCCTTTAGACAACCACCAAACTTTCAACAAAAATTAATCAACAGGAAAAACCCACAGATTGGAAGAATAAAATAAAGAAAATGGACCAGACAATGCAGAAAACAATGCGCAGACAATACAGCCACCCACAACAACAACACCTGCACATCTAGCAATGTGATATATATGACACAATGTACCAAGTGCCAGCTAGGGTGCTACATTAGGGAAACCACCCAGCAATTAAATGGCAGGATGATTATGCACAGACATTCAATTCAACACCACAAAGAAGAATCCTACAGTACTCCTGTGTGACACGATTTTACTCAGCCTGACCTCTCAACCAAGGACCTAATAATAAGAGCTCAAAGGGGATTATAGAATTACACAAGAAAGAAAAACTTTTGAAGCCATAATGATTCCATTTTTTATCAGCTTGAATAGATGACTAAATGTTGATTTAGGTTTCCTGTCCCACTACCAAAGTTTTACATGACCAACCCGTCATCATCTTACTCTTCTATCATATGTATCAACATGTTCAGATGCATTCTTATGCTATGTTTCTTATTATACTAATATATAAAGTATGATGTACAGACAAAAGCTTTCCGATACTCAAATGCATGTAGGTGAATATAAGTGGGTGTGTATTTCTATATGTGTATGTGGGTTTATTTGCATGTATGTATATGTGTGTATGTATGCATGTATATATGTATATGAATGTGTGTGCATGTATGTGCACATATGCGTGTATTTAGGTTTATGTATATGCTGCACATTCGTACATATTATTTTATTATTTATATAGCACCAGCAAACTCCATAGCGCTGTACATATATAGGTATATGCATTGGTGTTATTGTATGGATGTATGTATAAGTGTGCATGCATATATATTTATGCATTTGGGTGTATTTATATGTATTTATGTGTATGTATGCATTTGTGTGTATATGTACATATATGTGTATGTATGTATATTGCATACATATGTATGTAAATGTGAATGTATGTAGGAGTAGAGAATGTAGCAGTGTTGGTCCAGTGATGCAAATGTGGAATGACAGATTAAATTAGTATTTTGTAATGCCTTTTTTGTTCGACTATCAGAATATTGGGGTGCAGGCTTTTGGGAGAACCTTCCATTATTAAGTCAAGGCTCAGAAATGGTATGCCATGATGGGGGAAATTTAATTCCTGGTATGTCATACAGTCTTTAAGGCAAAATGGGCCCAGCAAACTAAAACGGGGAAAGATCTATATTTGACCCTGTAACTTTCCAAAGCACTATAAAACATACTGTACATTGGGGGCACTGTTGTAGTCATGAGACATCGCTGATCACAAATATGTGTATTTTAGTGCAGTAAAAACCAACAATAAAATGACATTAAAATGCCATGCAGAACATGGCAAATATCAACATGTCTTAATTTCTCACAACTTGTTAGATTTTATTAATTTTAAATTATACTCCATATATAACTATGAATGTGAAACGGAAGCCCTATTTCTCCTGAACAAAATGATATATAATAAGTGTGGGTATGCTTAATATGAGAGAGGTAAATTATGGTTAAACAGACATATAGCTATTTGCAGTTTTGGTGTTTTATCGCCCAATTCTCTGACATTTAGCAGTTAAATCAAATTTGTTTCTGTTTATGCAGCCATAGTCACAGCTCCTCTGTTAACATACACGCTTGTTACGTCAGCAAGCCGAAAATAGACAAGCAAACATAGGTCAGGATCATGGCATACATAGAGACTGCACATTTTTTTTTTCTGTAGTGAGGTCACTGATTAAAGACATTAACTAAAGTCCATAAGTGTTGGTCAGCAAGTAAACATAACTGTCTAGTACTAAATTGACTGGCCGGCTCTGGATTACTAAACAAATAACTAGTAACAGGCAGGCATGTATTTCAAGATAGTTGTTGAGGACAATGGCTTACATGTCAATAATATGCACTTTTCCTTTTTTTTTTTAAACAAGAGAATTCTATCAAGTGTACGTCAGATTATATGCAAGATGAACCAATAAAACAAGTGTGCTAGACTAGCTTACAACATGGAGTAGAGTACACAAGGTGAGGCCCACCAAGTGAGTTTACTGTAAGAGTTAGTGCTTAGTTATTGAACTGGCGGGACTTAAACATAAAATAACATAGCTAAAATATGGATATACATAGCTAGGCTAACATAATGAAATTACCACTGGATAATGTTATTAGGCTGCAGCATAGTATGCAAGGTAACTGATTAGTGTCACTAATCCCCCCACCACATCAAGAGAAGCAAGGAAAACATTGACTAGCAATTAAAGAGTAAGCAGGTGTAAAGGTAAAAGGCTTTGATTTATACGAGAGAAAGAGTCACCCGACTCCCATAGTCGGCAAATGAAGGAGGCAAGCAGGCATTCCGTTTGGGCTCCAAGACAAGTAATCCCTCCTGTTCCATGCTGTGGTGAGGGTGAGTCGCAACTCCTGACCGACTCCGGTAAGCTCAATGTCCACGTCCGTCCCCAACTGAGGATAGCAGTAGGACCTGTTGTATTTACCTCTCTTAGGCTGCGTTGCTGCCGGGCGGTGAGGCTGTTTTCTGCGCTGCTGCTGTATGGGAGTGCCCCCGGTATGCTTTGTTTTAGTCCGGCTGTGGTTGCCCTTAGTGATGCTCTGGGTCTTTGGTAGCGGGGTGGTCGTTCTAAGGAGCTCGTGGGGCCTGGGGAGGGAGCTTGCGGTGCGTGCCGGGAGTCTTAATGGGGCCTCCTGTGCTGGGTCTCGTGAATTGTCTTCCGGTTGGGTCCCAGGTTTCGAGGGCCACATGATCTTTTCCAGCCGCTCCCAGAAGGCGTTAAATATGCAGGTGAGTCGAAGCTCCATGTCTTGCTCGGCCCTGGAAGGTGCTGAGGTGTGTGCACCGTCCGCCATTTTGGCAGCCATATCGGCGGCCTCCACTCCACCCAGCCTTTTGGTCCGCTCTTCGCTTTTCAAGGGGGTTGTGAGGGGGTGAACCAGGAAGACCCCCGCCGGTCCAGGGGGTGAGGAACGAGGGCCCTGAGGTCAACTCCTGGCTGCTGCAAGCAGCAGGAAAGCGGCCGTCTTCCCTGCTCCCGCCATGCTGGTAGGCCTCGCCACAAGTTTGGGTGCACCTGGGTGACTTCGTCGCTGGGGTGGTATCTGTGTGTGTGCCCCAGTATCACCTGTCTCCTAGTGGCCTTTAGGTTTTATTTTTGTGCCATTTTGGTATCTGTAATCCGCTTTATTTGCCCTAAGTTTCAGGAGCTTGTGAGACATGCTTGTGAGACATGCTTCCTCACAGTTCAGTGGTCAGGCCCCAACCCCCATGGTTTCATTTTTAATCAGATGTTTAATTTGTTTTTTTTATCTCATCCTCTGTAAATTGAAATCAGACATACTTTTTTTAAATCAGAATTTGCAATAAAGGAAGATTTGATCTCTCTTTACAGGAAGTGTTTAGGGAAGCTGTGTAAGTCACATGCATAAAGGTGTGCCTAGGGCTGCATGATCAAAGTGATAACTCCTAAATGGCATAGAAGTAAGCAGTGAGACTGCAGGGGCATGATCTATACCCCATCACTGCTTGATTAAGCTAAAGTTGTTTTAGTGCCTATATTGTCCATTCAAACAAGAGAAGATAAATACAACCTAAGACATATTTTCTTTACAATTATACAAGTCATACACAAGAAAATAACTTAAAGCTCAGAAGCCGCAAGCTCCAAGGAAAGGCTGGGGATCGAATTTATCCACTTTAAACCAACCATTGCTGAAACAATTTAACCAGTGCACCTACACTCCCCCTATAACATTAATTGGGGTATAATTTGTCTCCCTCGTTCCTCCTACTTTCTAAACTGGCATTTCAGCTGGTTTTGCTTATTCACTTCTTGTTGTATATTGATTTTATATTGGATTTTGTGTATAATGTATATTGATACATTGCTTGTTTGTATATTGGATTATATAACTGCCTATATTTCGAGAGAATATTGATTTGACTGGTAGAATTTGATAAGTCTATGGAGACCATAATATCAGGATTATGTTTGAGTTGTGGGTACCCATACCAACTATAAATGTACCCTACCAAACTGGCTAAACAGTGGTAGAACCATCAATTTACATTTCCCTGTGCAAGCTAGCCAGTTTCATAATATTAATATTAATATTTCCTGTCCAAAAAAATACATCATGCATTGAAATAGTCTGTCACGTGTGCATTAATCCGATAATCTGATGTTGGCAAATGATTGGATCACTTACTGAAAATGTCACATCCATTTGACCAATTTTTTTTTTAGATGATATACCACTACACTCCTCTCTATAGTACATGCCTAAATGCATGAGGATGCTGAAAATCTATATTATTGATCAATTCACAGACAACTAATGGACACTTCTACAGCTTTATGAATAGCAACTGAACGACAAATGCTTTGTATGCAAAATTATATGGGTCAAAATCTGTGTCATTTCTGCTGAGCTGAAAGGTTCAGTAGACTCGCTGAAAGGGATTGCAGGGATTCAACACAGCTGATATTTGATATAGCCAGCATTTTGAACCTCTTAGTACAAGGTGTAAGCATGCAGTTCACACTTATATCATGCACAAACTTGGATGGTTAATGAGGAAATTAGATACAGTATTCAATCTCAAATTAATGAAGTGTTTTATTCCACACCTGGAACTCAGCTGCCAAACATGGAGGGTAAAGTGAAACCCATCAATTATTATTATTATTATGATATTTATAGAGCGCCGTCAAATTCCGTAGAGCTTTACAATGGGTGGACGAACAGACATGTAGTTGTAACCAGACAAGTTGGACACACAGGAACAAAGGGGTTGAGGGCCCTGCTCAATGAGCTTACATGCTAGAGGGAGTGGGGTAAAATGACACAAAAAGGTAAGGATAGTATTAGACTAGTGACAGTTGCAGAAGAGGAATCAGTCAGGAGCTATTAACAGTTTAATTGATACGCTTTTATGAAGAAGTGGGTTTTTAACGATTTTTGAAGGAGTGGAGACTGGGTGAGCATCTAACGGAGGAGGGAAGCGAGTTCCACAGGAACGGTGCAGCCCTCGAGAAATCTTGAAGGCGAGCATCAGAGGTGGGAGTACGGACAGAAGATAGACGTAAGTCTTCAGCAGATCGTAAGGGCCTAGACGGGACATACTTGTGTATAAGGGAGGATAGATAGGTGGGAGCAGCATTATGTAGAGATTTGAAAGCAAGAACCAGAATTTTAAATTGAGCTCTATATTTTATAGGAAGCCAATGTAGGGACTGACAGAAGGGTGAGGCATGGGAGGTGCGGGCGGACAGGAAGATGAGCCTCGCCGCCGCATTCATTATGGACTGTAATGGCGCTAGTTGGGAGCACGTAAGACCACTGAGAAGCGGATTACAGTAGTCAAGGCGAGAAAGGACAGTGGAATAGACCAGCACCTTAGTCGCATCTGGCGTTAAGTAGGGGCGGATGCGCACAATGTTTTTGAGATGGAAATGACAGGATTTGGCGATAGATTGAACATGAGGCTTGAAGGAGAGGTCGGAGTCAAAGAGAACACCTAGGCAGCGAGCCGAGTGGTGGAGCTGATGGTAGCACCGTTGACTGGGAGGGAGACAGACACAGGAGTAACAACACTTGTGGGAGGAAAGACCAGAATTTCAGTTTTGGTCAAGTTTAGTTTAAGGAAGTGGGCAGCCATCCAGTTAGAAACAGCAGAGAGGCAGTCAGAGACACTAGTCAAGAGGGACGGGGAGAGATCAGGAGAGGACAGTTAGATTTGCGTGTCATCTGCATAGAAATGATATTGGAAGCCAAAGGAGCTAGTGAGTTTACCAAGGGAGGCAGTATAGACCAATGACCAATAGCTACAACAACATACACAATCATGTGTCCTTGTGTTTCTTGACTGCCTGGGCTCTATGTGTATCAACCAGTTGTTCATTTAGTTTGTTTTTATGCAGTTGGCCACATTGTTTTAAGTTTCAAAAATACCTTATCAACATTTTCCATTATGATAGCACACGGATGGCTAAATGTCACTGGGTTAGGCATCTTTTACAAAAGACATAAGTAGGATATTTACATTATTTAACGATTGATACATGTATTTAATCACTATAGTTACAATTTATCCCTTCTAATAGTGGGGGGTGGGGGAGTTCTGCTTTAAGCCAAATGTCCAGAAAAGGGCATTTTTTTCCATCTGGTCAGAGATAAGAGGCTTCACCAGATGGGGACTATATGATAGCACACACAGAATTGAGACCTTTGTAGATAGATCTTATACAACAACATACAGTATATAGAACTAGGAGAGTTTGTCAGATAAGACATATATAATCGCTACCTGCACAGATGCTCCTGTTGTGCTGAACGCCCCGTACAGACTGTAAGCTTGTTTGAGCAGGGTCCTCTTCAACCTATCGTTCCTGTAAGTTTTTTCGTAATTCTCCTATTTATAGTTAAATCCCCCCTCTCATAATATTGTAAAGCGCTATGGAATCTGTTGGCACTATAAATGGCAATAATAATAATAATAATAATATAATAAAATATACAGAATTAAGATTTTTTTTAGCCAAAAGAACCTACTGTATAAAGTAATAGACACAAATAAAGGCATATAGATCTGTATAACAAGTACAGAACCTGGGGGCTTTAGCAGATATGGTCATATAAGAATTATAGAAGACGAGCAGATAAGGTCTGTATAAAAATATGTACATTACTAGGAGAACAGCAGATAGTGCATGTAAAATAATATATACACAATATTAGGAGACTAGCAAATAGGGCATATATTATTAATATTATTTATAAAGCGCCAACAAATTTCACAGCGATGTACATAAATAATATATATACACAATACTAGGAGACCAATATATAGGGCACATATAATAATATATACACAATACTAGGAGACCAATATATAGGGCACATACAATAATATATACACAATACTAGGAGACCAGCAGATAGGGTACATATAGTAATATATACACAATACTAGGAGACCACCAGATAGGGTATACATAATAATATATACACAATACTAGGAGGGCAACAGATAGGGTATATATAATAATATATACACAATACTAGGAGACCAACAGATAGGGTATATATAATAATATATACACAATACTAGGAGACCACCATATAGGGTATATATAATAATATATACACAATACTAGGAGGGCAACAGATAGGGTATATATAATAATATATACACAATACTAGGAGGGCAACAGATAGGGTATATATAATAATATATACACAATACTAGGAGGGCAACAGATAGGGTATATATAATAATATATACGCAATACTAGGAGACCAGCAGATAGGGTACATATAGTAATATATACACAGTACTAGGAGACCAATATAAAGGGCACATATAATAATATATACAATACTAGGAAACCAGCAGATAGGGTACATATAGTAATATATACACAATACTAGGAGGGCAACAGATAGGGTATATATAATAATATATACACAATACTAGGAGACCACCAGATAGGGTATATATAATATATACACAATACTAGGAGGGCAACAGATAGGGTATATATAATAATATATACACAATACTAGGAGACCAGCAGATAGGGTACATATAGTAATATATACACAATACAAGGAGGCCAGCAGACAGGGTACATATAATAATATATACACAAGTCTAGGAGACCATCAGATAGGGTACATATAATAATATATACACAATACTAGGAGGGCAACAGATAGGGTATATATAATAATATATACACAATACTAGGAGGGCAACAGATAGGGTATATATAATAATATATACACAAGTCTAGGAGACCACCAGATAGGGTATATATAATAATATATATACAATACTAGGAGACCAG